CTCGAACTCTTCCAATGTTGGTGCTAGCTGAAAATCTTGAAATATGAAACATATCAACAGTGAGTCATAGAATTGTGCCAAGGTAACGAGTACTCGGGGTCCACCTCTTGACTCAATATGTGAAGTAGCTTGCCATAATCCTTCCCAAAATTGATTCTGAAAATTACGGATATGCGAGAAACCAAATCACACAATCCATATAAGTTAGGCTTCTTAAATTTGTAGGACTAAGTCCTTCGAGTGTTTGATCCCATAATTTATGAGTTCTTGTAAATGTAATTCTTATATTCACTAGAAAGGAAAAAAAGTGAATGTTATGTTATGAATATGCAATGCTTATGCATGGTTTCAGGATCACATGTACAAATAATTTCTCAAGTTGGAGTCATGACAACAGGTATCTATGATTATCAAAACCCCACAGGTAGGCTCTAAGATTGGTAGGTTCCTAGAGTCACAGATCCTTCTCAAAGACATTATTGCCATTACGAAGGATCATTGCACAAAAATATCCTTGAAACGATCTCTTATAGGTGTGGTTTTTGTATTGTCCCAAAGAAAGGCTTATGGCGGGATTCTACTACACAACCATCGATTCAAGGGTTCTAAAAAGGATTCTCAGAGTCATAGATCGAGGTTGAAAATATTACTGTAAGATAGTAATATGTTCAAGGGATCACATCTGATTGGGGATTTTGTATTAACCCAACGAGTCCGAGGTCTCGTAGGTTAACACTATATAACCACCATGGATGGAACTAGTTAAAAGGTCCCTGGAGTCATCGATCCAACTTGAAAATATTATCGTCTTGACGAAGGCTCGTCGAAAAATAACATCCCCTAGATAATCTACTCTAAGCGGGGTCTTTGTATCGTCTCAACGAGGAAGACTCCTCGCAGGCCTCCACTACACAAACAACATCCTAATCCTATGGTTTTTCTCATACTCGGGTAGAGAGTCTATCTCACAAAGTACCAATAATCAGAGAGCCCCAACAGTATCATAAGAAACAATAATAACATAAATAATAAAGATAACCAAACCAACAAATAATGAAAAACAAATAAACAAACAAATAATCAAGCAAATAAGAGAAAATAAATAAACAAAGCTAACATTCATCGCAAACTGAACTAAGTTAGGCTTCACTCTCTCTTGCTTGGACCGTAGATCCCCAGCAGAATCGTCAGCTGTCGTACCTAGAAAAATACGATCCTTCACGATGAACGCGGAAAAAATTAGTTCGAACATAGTCACCACTGAACTTTATTTATTCAAATTAAGGAATAGAAAAATATCGATAAAACCTTTAAGAAAAGAAAATGGTCGTTGCAACCAAATTCGCGTTCGCGATTCGATTATGCAAGGGGAAGGTATTAGCACCCCTCACGTCTGTTGTACTCAACGGGAACCTCTTAGTTAGATTCATGATTAGTTTTTAACTTATGCTATTTATTTTCTTCTAAATTAAGAATGTGAAAGGGAAAAGAAAAAAGAGACGTAAAAGGGTTTTATCTAGGATTACTTGCTAGAGGAAATGGTTGGTTTTTTTATTAGGGTGCTCGCCAAGATCTCGCAATCTCGTGCCTGCGTATCCTCATAGTGCAATAAAAAAATCAGAGCTTCGTAGTTTGGGGGACTACGGTTTGTTGGTTTATTTTATCGAACTAATGTTTAGATCGCATTCTATGGGCTAAACATTAGCTTTTCTACTCTCAACGGAGGCTAAAGCGTTTAGTTTGTTTGCGCATTAGAAGGGACTAGACATTATTCTTTTAAGAAAAAAAATTTAATCGCACGGAGGCGAGTATTTAAATTAATATGTTGAATGTTTTATTTGAATTACGATTACTCGAATAGTCGAGTGAGGCAACTTGTATCCAAATAATCGAGGAGAAAAATCTAAGGCTCGATATCATCACCATTTTAATCCTTAATTGTGAAAGGATTTGAGTATTGTTAAGGTGTTTTAAATGGATGGTGAATACTCTAACGGTTGAGTAAGGCTACTCGTATCCAAGCATTCAAGAAAGGGAATAAAAGGCTTCAGACCACTCTCTTTTCATCTAAGTATTTAAGAAAATATGTTTGATTCGATTTATTTAAGAAAAGGTTTAAAGTGAATTGAATTATAAGTTTTTTTAGAGATGACGGTTGTTTGGCTAGTGAATAAGGAAACTCGTACCCAAACAATTAAGGAGAAGAATCAAAGGATCGAGACCATCTCCTTTTTCATCTTTAATGAAATAATGTTTAAGTATGATTAAGTGGTTTAATTTGATTAGGATAAAATACTCTATGTTAATTGAGGTTTCAATTTGCGTTCGAAGCGTTGTAAGGATTTGAAATGATTTAAAGGGAGGACCTATTTGGTGTTGGGTTAAGGTTGATTGCGATGCATGAAGCGATTGACTTACAAGTTGGGGTAGGGCTTGAGATATAGATCAAGAATGCTTTGGGGTGGTTGACGGCGATGCATGAAGCGATCGACTTACGAATTGGGGTAGGGTTTGATATATGGATCAAGAATGCTTTAGGGTTTTTTTTTAATTTACTTTTACATGTGCAATGGTGACAAGTGAATGATACTAAGGGAAGCAGTAAAAATATTACACGTCCAAAGAGTGGGAATACATTTTAATGAATGCGAAAAGATAAAGCAATCACACAACACCTTCAAGCAAACAAGCATCAACCAATAGTTCAAACACTTGACAAAGAAGTAAAGTCAAAATCTCATTGTAATAAAGCTCAAGAGTAAGTTATGTGAGTGTGTGAAAGCAAGTCTCATTGTAAGAAAGCCCAAGAGTAAGCTATGAGGTTGATGGTTATGCTAAAGAAGTGATCGACTTACAAGGGTGTTTTGGAAAAGACTTGATATTAAATCAAGAATTAGTTTTAAATGGTTTAACTGTGTAAATGAGATATTAATCAAATATTATCATGGCATATACATATCATATAAGCAATTACATGACCAAAATAATCGATCAAATATCACATAAATAAACCATACCTAACAACATACACACTTATTAACTAAATTAAATATAAATATTTAATATAATTAATTAATAATTTAATTAATTAATATTAAATAAATATATTTAAAATAATTAACAATATATATTTATATTTTTTTATGAATTAAAAACAATAATAAAAAAGTAATAAAAAAACTAGAAAAAAAATATAACAAACTAAAGAAAAACAAATTAAATGGGCTAGAGAAAGGCCCAATACTAAGGCGCAGTAAATTAAAGGATGGTGGTACAAGCAGTAAATAGGGCTACCGGGGAGGCCCACACGCTGGGAAGAGTTCATTGGACTTTCAGTTAATTTGTTGACCAAAGACTAACTTAAGATCGTCAGATCTGTAGATCTGACTTGGTCTTCTTGATCAAAGGGTGGATTGGACGCGGGAGCATGGTAAGGAGTAGGAGACACGCAAGAATCTGGTCATGTAATCTCATATCGGTGACAAGTGTCCAACGGTGGGGACACTTGTCACCACCGAGTCAGCACAACATCTACCAAAAGCCATTAAAACACAACAAAATGCATAGCATCCAAATACTATGCAAACAATGCTCTCTCTCCTTGTTCCCTCTCTGCAACTTGTTTTTTTTCTCTTGTTTTTTTTCTCTTATCAACCCTTTGCCAGAGAAGCAGTGGCGTGCGGAGGCCGCTACTGTCTTCTCCAGCAACCCTTAGTCGAAACACAAAATTTCAAACACAAATCCCTATTACTTTTTTACAGAGATTTCCAAATCTCACGTCAAAAAAAAAACCTAAGTGTGTACTTTGAATTCAGTATGATTTTCAATCATTATGAACCTGCGTCAGATCCGACATACGCAATAGTGCAGTAGTATATAGTAGTTGTACTTTGATTCATTATGAGTTGTATTTTATTTTTACTTCATGTTACTTTATCATGTATTTCGACTTTATTTATGTCATTTTTGAACCATCTAAGTTTATATACAACATTTTTTTCATATCGATTGTATGGTTAAAACCTCGTCACATAACATGATAAATAATGTTTATAAATCTTCATTTGAATAAATATCAACAAAACATAACATGCACTGTTTTGATAGGTTACAGAGATGTATCTCTGAATGGATCTCTGAAACAATATACATGTTAAATGTCTTTCAAAGTTGATGCGTAGTATATGTTTTAAAGTATTACGGAGATACCTCTTCGAATCAGTTAACGTTTCAAAGTGCATTCAAAAATACATATCCAAAATCTAAGGGACATTTTAAATTTTTTAAATAGTATTTTTCCACCCCATAGAGTAGAATAAAAAATTCCCTAAAAAAATGACTCAACCGACTAGATTGCAATTTTATCGGAACTTCTTTCATATATATAACTAATTTGATTGTCGATCAACATTCATTTAATGCCTTCAATGCTTGGTTGCTTGCTAATTGATTCATTTAAATGAAAAACACATGAAAGTTGTAGGTTGGCTAGTTTTGGTTTTAAGATGGCTGCCTTTTGCCATCAATAATGGTCAAAGTACATTCATAGTTCAAACGTAAAAACTTTAACATTTTGGTTTCAATCTCCATTGTTGAACTTTTTAGATGTTGTAAAATAACTATTAACATCATTTTAATTGGAAAAAAAAAACAAATTTAAAATATAAATTAAAAAATCATGATTTCATATTCCAATAATGACATTAATAAGTCAAAATATTATTGTATTTTCAACTATCAAGTGCAATTTTTTAAAGTACCTAAATATAAATAAATACTGTCTGTCATAAATTGAACCATAGACTAAAAGTTTACACTTATTTAATTCAGGTAATACATATGAACTACCACACTCACCTTTATCCATAGCAATTTAGCATCTATAGTTTGCAGCAGTATAAGACAAGTATTTTTCATAGGATAGTTGTTGACGGAGGAAGATACGGTACAATTTAGACTATAGATAGTGAAACACAGACTACAGTTATGAATGAATGAGACTAGCGTTTCTTAGCTTTGGCATGAGAATTTGCAAGTTCTTTTTTCTTGGCAGCATTATTGGCTTTAACAAACCATGCAGGTGCTCTGTGATGCGCAGCATACTTGTAATCATAGAATAGTTCCTCACCGGCTTCAATGCGTTCCATAGCAAATATGGCTACTCGATGGTCTCCACGAACAAACATACCCTATATAAAGTTCAATCATTATGTCAGATCAGTAATTGAGTATGTTCAAGATGCTCTAATTTTGAATATAAAACAAAGTTAAACATCATCCGCGGCACAATGAGTAACTCATTTGTAAAACATGTTTTTAGACTGACCCTTGCATAACAGTTGGGTTTTGAGGAGTGGTTTGCAAATTTTAATTTGTCTCCTTTGCGATATGCATCAATGACATACTGGAAGAAATAAAAGTAGTGAATTTTTAGTAAATTATTGTCACTTTGTCAACAGACAAATAAACATATTTACATCGAGGTAATAAAACAATAAGCACAAACAACAGAGTTACCTCATCATCCAAGTCAAAAAGAAAAGAGAAGTCCGCACGCTCATACAATTTACCGCGCTTCTCTGCTTCTGTATGAGATATTAATTCACCCGTATACTCTCCTAAAAAATCATCTTTGTTGGCAGGATTCTGAAATCAATTCAAAATAACTGATAAGAAACACTTCTACATCATTTTAAAATACCTATAAGAATTTAATTGGTATATGCCCTGACACTGTAAAATTATTGTACACTATCAACCAATCACCTACCTTCCTGTATCTTGCCACATCAGACTATAATTTTTAAGTTAACGGTATGACATGGCAAATTAATAGATTCCTATTGGATGACAGTGTAAAATTATTTTATCCTGTCAGTGCATACCAATTAAACTCTAAATAAATTTAATTGATATGTCCTGACAGTGTAATTTTACACTATCAACCAATCACCCTCATGTATCCCGCCACATCAGACTATAATTTTTAAGTTAACGGTATGACATGGTAGATTAATACATTCCTATTGAATGACAGTGTAAAATTATTTTACACTCTCAGTACATACCAATAAAACTCTAAATAAATTTAATTAGTATGCACTGACAGTGTAAAATCAGTGCATACCAATTAAACTCTAAATGTGTTTAATTAGTATGCACTGGCAGTGTAAAATTATTTTACATTGCGGTGTATAATTATCAACACAATTACTGTGTGTTTAATGGTTGAAATTTAAATAGATTCCAACCCAATTAGACTAGAGAGAATGTTGAAATAGTGTGTTGTTTGCATAATAATAACTTAAAAACAAATTAATACAAACATCTCAACCTTTAAGAAGGCTCCCCATCCAGCAACATCAGACTTGGCTAAAAGGATCTGAAAAATAAAGATAAAAGTATAAGACAAAGCATGCATTCATGAATTAAATATTTTAAAGAACAAAAGAATTCTTACCCTTTGTTTTTTTCCTAAAAGAAGATTCATATTTTCACATTCATTTTCTCCATGATGAGGTGGCTCTCCTAATGAACCATCACCACAACTGTATGTAGTATTCAAAGTTAACAACTAGAAAATAGAGAAAATTCTAAGATTTGGAGAGATCAATATTAAATTATGTAGGGGAGAAAACTATTTATTCAATTTGAGAAATCTAGCAACAAATAAGGGAGGCTTGTGGAAAAAATATTATTTTAATTCATAAAAAAGATTTCATTTTTTAACTATTTTTTAAAAATAAACAGCGGTTTAAAGAAAATTAAATTAATAGAAAAGTAAATTACCTAGCCCAACAATTTCTACAGAGATCTGGGTCACATTCCCGATTTGCTGCAAAGCATGGACACTGTCGATTTCTGCATTGACCTATAGCACAATGGCATCCTCTGAACAGATTTCCGCATTGTTTTGTGCACCTACGGATAGAAAAGATAATTAATCCTTTTCAAAACATATTTGATAAACAACATAGTCCTCATATATCCTCCTTTTCAAAACATAATTAATTGATAGACAACATACCCGCAATACTTTTCACAGCAATATCCATTAAGACGACAAGGACATTGTTTTCTACACTTTCCATGACACTCACAAGGTGTATAATGCTTAAGGAGTATGTTTCCTCCAGCATTAATTCTTTCCTGGCTAGGTGGGAGGCGTGGCGACTTTGGTAAATATTTAAACTCCTTGCTCTTTCCTTTTTTTTTAAATGACCTTAAACCTGATGGCATCTCATGGTCCTAAAAAAATCACTCTTAATACAAAGAAAATTTGATGCTACATGGATAGATAACTATGCCATAAGAGTTGTCCAAATTTTTAGGAGAAAAAAGTTACATAAACAAATAACTTCAAGTTTCATAGATAAACGTGCATGATTATTTTTATCATTTATTTGATAAAAATAGCCCATTAAGAAAAGCACTTTATGCTATTACTTTGGACTCCTTCCTTGTGCAAAGCCTGCCACTAGTTCAGGAATATAGAAAATTCCAACAATAAAAGAGGAAATATTCAAATTTCTCAACTCATCTCATGATGTTAGATGATCTAAATATGTTTTTATAGAAGGGTGAATTTATTTCTCTATTGAAATTGTAGAAATATCATTTATATTTCCTTGTGTTTTATGAGAATTACATAGCAGTATTTATAGAATACATAAGGCAGAATTTGAAAGGGAAATCTGTCCTAGAAATCAGGGGAGTTAATTTTCCCATAAATGCTAATTCTAATTACAGTAAAAACAGGAAATAATAACTAATTAATTACATTAGTTCTAATCCTAATGAGTTGTACAAACAAAATCATTTGATTCTGTATTGATTATTCCACACTCCCCCTCAATCTGGGTGGTAGATGTCTATCATACCCAGATTGGATCTGATATTCTCGTATATGTTCCTTGGAAGGGCTTTTGTTAGAATATTTGCAGTTTGCTGGCATGATGGAATATGGTTAACACTTATAATTCCATGATCAATTTTCTCCTTGATGAAGTGTCGGTCTATCTCTACATGCTTTGTTCTTGTTGAAATACAAGAGACTAAGAGACATTTGAATAAACCGTGTGTTTTGAAAAGCACTACGGAGACATTATTATATATAAATAGAATACAAGTAATTACATGATATAGTCGATGTGGGACTATTCTATATACAAATATTCTCAAATCTATATATATATATTTACACATATCAACACTCTCCCTCAAGCTTGAGCATATAAGTCAAATGCACCAAGCTTGTTACATATATAGTTAGTTCTGGGGCTTCGTAGGGATTTTGTAAACACATCTGCCAATTGATCATTAGAGTTGACAAAGCTTGTGACGATGTCGCCTGACTCGATCTTCTCTCTGACAAAGTGACAGTCTATCTCAATATGTTTGGTCCTCTCATGGAAGACTGGATTTGAAGCAATGTGCAATGCAGCTTGATTATCACAAATAAGTGTCATTGGTCTTGCTTCTTCAATTTGAAGTTCCTTGAGTAACTGTTTTAACCAAATAAGTTCACATGTTGCCATTGCCATGGCCCTATACTCTGCCTCGGCGCTTGATCTTGCAACTACATTTTGTTTCTTACTTTTCCAGGAGATAAGGTTTCCTCCAACAAGTACACAATACCCAGAGGTGGATCGTCTATCAATGGGTGACCCTGCCCAATCAGCATCAGAGTATCCAATTATCTGGGTATGTCTTTTATCCTCATACACAAGACCTTTTCCTGGAGCACATTTGATGTATCTCAAAATTCGGATAACAGCATCCATGTGTTCCTGACAAGGGGAATTTAAGAACTAGCTTACCACACTGACTGCAAAAGAAATGTCCGGACGAGTGACTGTGAGATAATTCAACTTTCCAACCAATCTCCTATATCTTCCTGAGTCAGATAAAGGCTCCCCCTGATTGGGTAGTAGTTTAACACTTGGATCCATAGGAGTATCAGCTGGTTTAGCATTTAACAAACCTGTTTCTTCCAAAATATCCATAGCATATTTCCGCTGAGAAATGATCAGACCATCTTTAGATTGGGCTACTTCAATACCCAAGAAATAGCGGAGTTTACCAAGATCTTTTGTCTGAAATTGTTTCGAGAGATGTTGTTTCAACTGGAGTATTCCCTGCTGATTACTACCAGTTATGACAATGTCATCTACATACATAATAAGATAAATACACCCTTGGGGTGAGTGACGATAAAAAACAGAATGGTCAGCTTCACTACGGATCATACCAAACTGTTGTACTACAGTGCTGAATCTGCCAAACCAAGCTCTCGGAGATTGCTTAAGACCATAAAGAGACCTGTGTAGCCTACAAACCATATTCGATGACTCCCCCTGAGCAACAAACCCAGGTGGTTGCTCCATATATACTTCCTCTTCAAGATCACCATGTAAGAATGCATTTTTGATGTCAAGTTGATGAAGAGACCAATGTCGAATGGCTGCAATGGCTAGAAGAAGTCTAACAGATGCCATCTTGGCTACAGGCGAGAAGGTATCACTATAATCCAACCCAAAAATTTGAGTGTATCCTTTGGCTACCAAGCGGGCTTTAAATCGATCAATCTTGCCATCTGGACCAACCTTCACTGTATAAAGCCAACGACAACCTACTAAAGATTTCCCATGGGGTAGAGGAACCAGTTCCCAGGTACCACTGCTTTGAAGAGCACACATTTCATCAATCATTGCTTGCCTCCACTCAGGGTGAGATAATGCTTCACCTGGAGTTTTAGGAATAGAAACAGAAGACAAAGAAGACAAACAAGTATACTGCAAAGGGGAAAGACGATGATAACATAAATCAATATAATGTGGAGAAGGATTTCGTGTTTGACGTATACATTTTCAAAGGGCAATCGGAAGATCAGACTCAGGTTGCAGGATCGAATCCGGTGATGGCGAGAGCGTCGGAGGAGAGTCTGTAATGACCTCAGGGACAGGTACGACTTCAGGGACAGGTACGACCGTAGTGACCTCAGGGACAGGTACGACTTCAGGGACAGGTACGACTTCAGGGACAGGTACGACAGACTTTGGGTGACGACGCTGATATGTTTGAAGTGGGCGAGGAGTGGGGGGGTCAACCGTAGGGGTAACTAGTGGGTCAGGTTCCCTAGAATGATGGGGGATAATGACAAATGAGACTTCCGGAAGAGGTGTGGGAATACTTTCCTGTAGAGGTTCCGTAGTAACTTGGCTGGATTGGAAATATAGAACAGACTCGAAGAAGGTAACATCGGCGGATACGAGGTATCGTTGTAGAGTATGTGAGTAGCAACGATAACCTTTTTGGGATCGATGATAGCCAAGAAAGACACACTTTAGTGATCGAGCTGATAGTTTATCAAGACCAGGGGAGAGATTGTGTACAAAACACGTGGACCCGAAGACTCGAGGAGGAATTGGGTGGAGTGGAGAGTTTGGAAATAAGATTGAATGAGGGATTTTATTATTAAGGACAGATGATGGCATGCGATTTATGAGGTAACATGCCGTGAGCACTGCATCTCCCCAAAACCGGAGAGGAACATTACCATGGAGAAGTAGGGTCTGAGTGGTTTCTACGAGGTGCCAATTTTTGCGTTCGGCTACCCCGTTTTGTTGGGGTGTATGAGGGCAAGATGTTTGGTGCAAAATACCATTGGATGACATAAATGTTTGAAATTGTTGGGATAAATATTCACGTGCATTGTCACTTCTTAAGGTACGAATAGACAAACCAAATTGGGTTCTTATTTCTCGATAAAATTGTTGAAAAATGGAAAACAATTCAGATCTATTCTTCATTAAAAATAACCACGTGCAACGTGAAAAATCATCAATAAAGGTGACAAAATACCTAGACTCAAGAATAGAGACAGTACGCGAGGGACCCCAAACATCGGTGTGAACTAAAGCAAAAGGGGACGAAGCTCGTTTGTTGACTCGACATGGAAATTGACTACAAGTGTGTTTCCCTAATTGGCACGACTCACAATGTAAATTAGATACCTTCGATAAATTTGGCACCAACTTATGTAATTTGGAAAGACTGGGATGACCTAACTGAGCATGGATAGTGAGTGGAGAATCTTTGGTTGAGCATGTCTGAGATGACAATAAAAGGTAGTAAAGGCCTTGAGACTCATATCCGACGCCAATCGTCTTTCCCGAACTCCGATCCTGCAGGGTAACATTATTATTAGTGAAGGTGATACTACAATCAAGAGAACGAGTTAAACGACTGATTGAAAGTAAATTAAATGGACAATTAGGTACATAGAGGACAGAAGTAACAGATAGAGAAGGTAGAATTTGAACAGTACCAATCCCTTCGGATCGGGTTTGAGAACCATTGGCCGAAGTTATAGTAGGTAAGAAACCAGAGGTAGAGAGGGAAGAGAACAAATTTTTATTACCAGTAACATGATCAGACGCACCAGAATCAAGGACCCAAAGTCGAAGAGGAGATGATTGAGAGAGGCAAACAGATAAATTACCAGTGTGTGCTACCTTAGCAGTAGAATCTGAGTTCTGATAATTCTGATACCACCTGAGGAAATCATCGTAGTTTGGCGTAAAGTTCTGAGGAGTAGCCATGAGTATCTGAAGAGAGAAAATATCACGCGGTCGAATCGCTGGCCGGACGTGCTGTCACGTGCGTTTCAGGTGGCGGCGTTTGATGCTCACGCGCAGAGACGGAGGTGACGCGTGTGGAGGTTTCTGCCGATGAAAAAGTTTGCCGGAAGGTCGTTGAGAATAGCAACGACGGCGGCAGCTATGCGGTTATGACCGGAGAATTTTGAAAAGTGAGGCAAACCGGAGAGACAACACGGTTTGCAAAAAAAAAAAAAAATTTAAAAACTTCTCACCAGAAGACAGTGGGTCAACCGGGTAAAGCACGGCGAAGAAAGAATTGCCTCTTAGCAGGCTCTAGATACCATGTTAAAATACAAGAGACTAAGAGACATTTGAATAAACCGTGTGTTTTGAAAAGCACTACGGAGACATTATTATATATAAATAGAATACAAGTAATTACATGATATAGTCGATGTGGGACTATTCTATATACAAATATTCTCAACACTATATATATATATTTACACATATCAACAGTTCTATCATGCTGAACTGGGTTCTTCGCAATGCTTATAGCAGCCTTGTTATCACATAATATTTTCATAGGATGTTTGGTAGGAATTTTGATTTCACCTAGCATTAGCTTAAGCCAAATTCCTTCACAAATACCTTGTGACATAGCTCTAAATTCTGTTTCTGCGCTACTCCTAGCCACAACAGACTGTTTCTTGCTTCTCCAAGTTACCATATTACCCCATACAAATGTGCAGTAGCCTGTAGTCGATTTCCTGTCAGATAAACATCCTGCCCAATCTGAATCAGTGTAGACTTCAATACCTCTGTTTGAGTTCTTTTGAAAATAGAGTCCTCGACCTGGCGTACCTTTTAGGTACTGGAGAATTCTGTTAACATTTCTCATGTTAGTTTCAGTTGGATTTGACATATAACGACTAGCCATGCTTACAGCAAAACCAATGTCTGGTCTGGTGTGAGTTAGATAGATTAGTTTTCCAACTAGACTTTGGTATCTATCTTTATTAGCTGGTATATTCTCATCTTCACTCCTTTTTATTTGTTCTATGGGAGTATTGGCAGCTTTGCATCCAAGCATACCTGTTTCTTGAAGTAAATCCAAAGTGTACTTCCTTTGAGAAACTTTGCATCCAAGCATACCTGTTTCTTGAAGTAAATCCAAAGTGTACTTCCTTTGAGAAACTGAAATACCATTCTTTGTCCGTGCAATTTCCATCCCTAGAAAATACTTGAGTTGTCCCAAGTCTTTGACTTCAAATTCTTTGGCTAGAAGTTTCTTTAACTGGTTGACTTGTTCATCATCATCTCCGGTAATTACGATATCATCAACATAGACAATAAACAAAGCTATCTTCTCATCCAAAGAGTGCTTGACAAACATAGTATGGTCTGTTTGACATTGAACAAAACCATCTTGCTTGACAACTTTTGTTAGTCTGTCAAACCATGCCCTTGGTGATTGTTTGAGGCCATATAGAGATTTTCGAAGTCGACACACCATGTTGGAGGTCCCGGGTGATTCAAGTCCTGGAGGAATTTTCATATATACCTCTTCTTCTAACTCACCATTTAGAAATGCATTCTTTATGTCTAGTTGGTACAGGGGCCAATCTAGATTTGCTGCCAGAGATAGTAGAACCCGAACAGAATTGAGCTTCGCAACAGGTGCAAAAGTCTCCTCATAATCCACCCCATATGATTGTGTGAACCCCTTAGCAACCAACCGAGCTTTGTACCTATTTATACTCCCATCAGCATTGTACTTAATTGAAAATATCCACTTGCATCCTACTGCTTTCTTCCCTTCTGGTATAGCGGTGATCTCCCATGTGCCACTTCTTACAAGTGCTTGAACTTCTTCTGTTACAGCTGCTGCCCATTCAGCTTTCTGCAATGCTTCTTGAATATTATTTGGAATTTCTATGTTGTCAACAGCTGCTACAAAAGACCTGTAACTTTGTGATAGTTTTCCATAGGAGATATGTTTTTCAATAGGGTGTTTGGTGCATGTTCTAACCCCTTTTCTCATAGCAATAGGAATATCCATATCTGCTGTATTTGTAACAATATGTTCAGAGTTAGGGAGAATATTACCGGTGGGAACTTCATTTTCTAGAGCTTGGTTGGACTCATGGCCTTGCATTGGAGTTATACTTGACTCTACTTCCTTCCTCCTCCTTTTATAAACCTTCCAGTTACTTGTTTTTGGATCACAATTTTGTTGAGGTGTGGTTGAGACTATAATTGGTCTGGTTTCCGTCACAGCTTCTGTTGTCCTTTCACTCGGCTGAATGTTAGAGGTTTGGTTTAGTAATTTTTCAGCTGGTTTAGGCATAGGTTCGGCTGATTGAGTGTTATCGGTTTGGTCTAGTAAGATTTTTCCATGTTTGGTTAGTTCAAGAGGCAAAAGTTGGTATTCTGAATTTTCAATACGATGTATGTATGATTGCTCCCCCTGAATACCAATTTTGGTGTAATAGGGCTGATTTTCAAAGAAGGTTACATCCATAGTGTGGTAAAAAAATTTGGTATGGGGAGAGTAACACCTATAACCCTTTTGGTGAGGAGAGTAACCAAGAAAAATGCATTTGATGGATTTTGGGTCTAATTTGCTTCGGTGAGGGTTGAGGTTATGGACAAAAGTTGAGCATCCAAATATTTTTAATGGAATAGAGGAAAAGATTTTGCTGGTTGGAAATAGGTTTTGAAGTGTGGAGAGTGGGGTCTTAAAGTTAAGGATACAGGAAGGCATTCGATTTATAAGGTGAGTTGCTGAAAGGACAGCTTCTCCCCAAAAGTGTTGTGGGACTCTCCCCAAAAGTGTTGTGGGACTCTCCCCAAAAGTGTTGTGGGACATTTGTGGCCAACATGATTGATCTAGTCACTTCCAAAAGGTGTATATTCTTCCTTTCTGCTACTCCATTTTGTTGGGGAGTGTCCACACACGAACTTTGGTGAACAATTCCAACCTTTTGAAGGTAGGAATTTAGAGCAAGGTTGTAATACTCACGACCATTGTCAGTTCTAAGTATATGAATATTGCTTTGAAATTGTGTTTGTGCCATCTTATGATAAATTTCAAATATTCTCCCCACTTCTGATTTTTCCTTCATTAGAAACACCCATGTAACACGTGTGTGATCATCAATAAAGGTGACAAACCATCTCGAGCCAGTAATGTTGTGGACTCGTGATGGTCCCCATACATCACTATGAATTAATGAAAAAGGTTTGGATGGTTTATAGGATTGGGGTGGGTAATGGTTTTGGGTATGTTTAGACAATTGGCAGATTTCACATTGAAAATGTTCCTTGTTTTTATTGAATAACGAGGGAAAAATCTTTTCCAAGTACATGAAATTTGGGTGGCCTAATCTATAGTGCCACATCATTATAGAATTATTATCATTTGAAACTGCAGCTGCAACATGATAGTTATTATTGAGTTTTTTCTCTGATTTTTCCACTTGGAGGAAGTAGAGTCCAGCACACTCTTCAGCATTGTCAATCGTTTTCCCCGACTCCAAAATCTGAAATTCACACAAGTTAAGAAAGAATTTAGTAACACATTTCAAATCTCTTGTAATCTTGCTAATGGACAGCAAGTTACAATCAAGTGTAGGCACATACAAAACAGAATCAAGAGTAATATTTGGTGAAATTATAATTGATCCTTTACCCATGACCTTAGAATGTGTACCATCGGCTGTTCGAACATTATAGTTATAGGGACATTGAGAATAACTATTAAACAGGGTGAAATCTCCAGTCATGTGATCTGAGGCCCCTGAGTCAACAATCCATGATTTTGTTTTTTCTTTACTAGTATTTAGAGCATGTAAATAATTACCTCTTTGAGCCACTACAGCAGTACCACCTTTTTTCTACGGTTAACATAGTTTGCTGAAGGAGTTTTTGAAGAGCCTCCATTTGTTATTTGCTAAAAGGAGATGAGTTAGAGTATACCTCAGCTTCTTGGTTGTTAAATGTTATGTTACCTCTGCCCTCCTTGCCTTTGAACAATTTTGCCTCCGAAGGTTTTCCATGTATGATCCAACATGTTTCCTTTGTGTGGCCTGGTCTCTTGCAGTGATCACACCAGGGGCGGTTTTTCTTTTGTGATGGTCGAGGCCGATTCCCCCTTGCTGCCATTGCAGAGCTCTCACTGTACGGAACTGAGTTGGGTGTCCCCAACATGATTCTCCTCCTGCTTTCTTCCCTTCTCACTTCTGAAAAGGCTTCTCGAATTTTGAGAAGTGGTTTGGTTCCAAGGATCCTTCCACGAACTTCATCTAGGTCCTTGTTTAGGCCCAATAGAAATTTGTAAATCCTATCTTTTTCCACCAATTCCTTATATTTCTTTTTATCTTCTATACAACACCATGTAACCTCTTCATATATGTCCAGTTGCTGCCAGTGTTTGTTAAGTATGTTAAAATACTCGGTAACAGAAGATTCTCCTTGTCGAAGGTCATGAAGAATGCTTTTTATCTCAAATACGACAGATGTATTGTCAACATTTGAGTACGTTTCCTTCACTGCATCCCATATCTCTTTTGCAGTGTCATAGAACATGAAATTTTCACCAATTTCATTTTTCATGGTATTGAGCAGCCATGACATTACTTGGTTGTTCTCAAGTTTCCATTTCTGAAAATTTTTGTCTCCTTCCGCAGGACATTTAGAATCTCCCGTGGTGTAGCCTTCCCTTCCTTTTCCTTCGAGGAAGATCTTGACTGACCTTACCCATTGGGTATAGTTTTGACCATTTAATTTATGGCCTGTGATGAGGTGAGTGATCCCTTCGTGTGAACTGGTTGGAAATGACCCAGTCTCCACTTTGAGCGATTCATCAGATTTAGGATCCTCCATAGTTTGGCGGCGCTAGGTTAGGGATGGTTCAGATCGTGCTCTGATACCATGTAGAAATATACTTTATATTTCCTTGTGTTTTATGAGAATTACATAGCAGTATTTATAGAATACATAAGGCAGAATTTGAAAGGGAAATTTGTCCTAGAAATCAGGGGAGTTAATTTTCCCATAAATGTTAATTCTAATTACAGTAAAAACAGGAAATAATAACTAATTAATTACATTAGTCCTAATCCTAATGAGTTGTACAAACAAAATCATTTGATTCTGTATTGATTATTCCACAGAAATATTTTGATGTGACAACGCAGATAGCATAAAAATAGTAGACTGGAAGACAAAATAATGTATCTCAATAGAAAGTCAACATAATTAAAGGAGCTTAAAAATTTTAGACTAATTTGACGATTGTAGCTAAAATTTGTTTCTTCAATAAATTTCCAGACATCCTATAGTATGTATGTAAAAATGAGCTATACAAACATCTCCAAAAAAGTATGATCACAACAACTGAAAACTAATTGTAACAAAAAAACAACGGAAGACTATACAAACTAATAGAAGATAGGGAAATGAATGTTGGCAATACTCACAGTGCACTTTGCATCAAATTTTCCATTTTCATCAATGGATCTGCGGGCCACCTCTTCAACACGCATGTAGCTGGCTATTTCAATGCAAGTCTTGAATTCAGAAAGTAAGCTTCGAAATATAAGACAACTGCAGATCAATAAAAATGTTACAAGGAATAATACTTGATAGAACTTAAATCTTTCCCAAGAAACAAGAACATTTTACAAATGTATATGAAATTCTAGGTACCCAACAGTGGATGTTATTACTGATGTTATGACATCCACTATAACACAGACTACTGAACTTAATATCCAACTGTAAATGAAAACAGTAAATAACACAAGTAATTGTTTAACCAGTTCAGTGCAAACCACACCTGCATCTGGGGACTACCAAGCCAGGGAGGAAATTCACTATTAGTAGAATTAATTCAGAGTCAAACAACCAGTTTGCACTCTTCACTTAAGACCTACCCAATGACACTTCAGCCTAACACTAGACCAGAGTTACCAACTCAATCACAGCAGTGATATCAACCAATTCAAAGTTACAAAAGAGAAATTGAAGACACACTTCAAACGCACCTTGATCTTGCTTCACAGCTTTGATCAAGTGACACACTACTCTTGCTTAAAAGCTTAGAGTGAAAACTGAACATACAGTTCACACACACTAAACCAAAGCAATCATGCAGGAGACAATTGCTTGGTATACAAGTATCCTAAGACACAATACACACGTGAAGAACAACTGATACAATCAGACTTCTTCACTCACAAACTACACTCTTCAATCTTTGCCTGATTAGGATTGATCCTCTATTATTTATAGCAGCAGATTGTCTTTAGGCCTTCGTGCACAAGTTAGTTTTACCCAAGATAAACCTCTCTTCATGAAGCTGCGCACGTCCAATTGAGTCAAGGGCATTCCATGTTATCCTTAGCAGTGCCTGATATGTCGCCTAAGATAACTAGGCTTCCTAAAATGTTTTCTGAAGTATAGCCTGAGTTAATAACAGAAACTAATACCTGCGCGCCTTGATGTCATACGCTTGATGTCATAACATTCAGTCATGACATCCAACTTAAGTAACTCTTAGCTATTTAAACTTACCCTGCTGAATCCTCATTATGTATGTCATAACATCAGTCATGACATTCATACATCCATCACTGTTTTGCCACAAAATGCAGCCAATCAAAAGCATCTACAAACTCCCCCTTTGGCAAATTTTTTGTTAAAACACTCTGTTACCATATCAGAGATTACAAGCAGCAGAAGTCATACCATACATGCAGGAAAGCTACTAGCTAACAACACACACAGCTATCTCACCATATCAGAGTCATCTTCACACTCTAAGGACTATCTGCTAGTCCATACTACAGGCATCACAATCATTTGTGGATCAACTTGTGATATTTCCCCTCTACTGATGCACAGCACATCAGTGCACACAGCACACACAACCTGCACACACAGCAGTCACACAATTTATCCAGACTGGATTCTGGATGTCAGGACATTCAGGATGACATCCTGAAGAACACAATCACTTGTTACATCCTGTGCTACTCCCCCTGAAAAGATGCACAGCCACACACACATTCTGCAAACACCCTGCAGACACACACACTAATAGTAGCTCTACTACTACTAGGTTCCATCAAGGAACACACACATTCAGCATCAACCTGCAAACATACTCACGAGTAGCAGCACCACTCACACACAGATTAGCAGCTTCATCCAAAACTCACACACTTCTAACATACATTCCTACACACATTAGGAACAACAAACAAGTCTTCCACCTGCTGTTACTCAATTACTACTATCACTTCTCCCCCTTTTTAGCCACAAATTTAGATCAAAACTAACTAAATAGTATAGATCAAAAAATATGGAAGTGCAGAAGTTAGGGGTCATTACAACATAAAGCTCATGATGAGCAATACAAATAGCTGTAAAAAAAAAAAAAAAATCTAAGCAAGGAAACACAAAAAAACATCACTAGTCACACCAGCAGCACACCCTCATCAGCCCAAGCAAACCGGCAAGCCATCAACACCACCATATTAACCTTCCTCCTCAGAAGAGCTGGAGTCACTGTCATCACTATCCTCCTCAGAACTATCAACAGCTTCCTCTGATGCAGCATCCTGGCCATCAGACCCATCATCCTTGTCCTCATCATTTTGAGGAGACTCATTATCTTCATCTTGCTCAAGAGCCCTGATCAACCTTTCAAGTTTTTGCTTTCTTGTTTCCAACTCATTGCAAGTTTCTTTTAGCATGGCAATAACCTCAGCCTTTCCTGTCTTAGAGCTCCCTTTGGATGTCTCTGTTGATGTCATGACAATGTCAGGAACATGAGTTCCTTGAAACAGCTTGTGATAGAAAGACAAAGGGCTCTCTCTCTTGCTTGCAGAATCATTCTCTTTGAGGATGTTGGGATACTGATTCAATATTATTCCACAGATAAGGGAAGGGAATGCAATGGGGCCTTTGATACTATAGTTGCCTGCATGTTTCATAATCTGATCAAAAATATAGGTCCCATAGTCAAATTTGGCTTTGGTTCCAACAGCATAGATAAATCTCCCAAGGATAGTTGCCACAGTTGACCAAGGATTTGTGGGCACCCAATTTGCAGCACCAATCTTGTGCAGCATAGCATACTTCACACTTAACACACTTTGTTGTCAGATGCAGCTATATCAGGTTGTACTCTATCTGATCTTTCAAGATAGTTTCAAGATAGTTGTTGATGATGGTTGAAGAGAAATTGACACATTTCCCTCTTACATAAACCTTGTCAAACTCATTAGATTTCCTATCAGCACATTCTTCTGACAGGTTAACTATGAATTCTTTGACAAGTAGTTCATAGCACTGAGTGAACTGAGTGATAGTCTTCAGCAAGCCAGCATCATGAATAAGATTCATGATCTCTTTGTTTTCAAGAGCATTCTGAGCATGCTCTCTCTCCAAAACCAGCCTCTTCTGATAAACATATTTCCATCTGTTTACACTAGATGGATAATGGAAGGAGACATTGTCAATGGGGACATCTGGAACACTAGCAGCCAGTTTGCTAGTTGTGGGTTTCTTCTTTGGTTGGATGTCAGTGACATCACTGTTAATTAGGAAATAATCTTTGCAGTTATTGTGAATAATTTACATTCATAGAATAGGAAATTAGTTATTATGAATTGTAATTAGTTATTATCAGCTATAATTAGTTATTATGAGTTGTAATTACCGACACTATTATATATAGTATGAAAGGCAATGAGAAAGGCATCAAGCCAAATTTCGTGACATGGTATCAGTAGGTTCGATCAAACCTGGAAAATATTATTATATTGGCTGATCAGCGATACCCCACTGGTTCGCTCTCGTAATCGTGTTCGTTTCGAAATTCTTTCGTTTGAAATCGAAACCTTGCAGCTGTCTGAGATTCTAAATCTTTGGTTGCCGGTTCGTGATTTCGTCTTGGAGATTCTCGTTGTTGCGCTGATATTGCAATCAATTTTTTTTGGTTCTTGGCTGTTGTTGCTTCGTGATTCTGGATCGTCATAATCTTCTGTTTTGCCGCTCCTTCCAAATCGTGGATTTGATCGTGCTGTTGTTCGTTGGTTCGTGGGTATTGTTTCTTGTTGCTGCTCTAGTAACTGTGATTACAGTTACTGTTATTATATTATAGTTATTATTATTATTATTATTATTATAATTATTATTATAATAATAATAAAATAATATTAGTGAGATTGTATCTGGTGGTTTAATAATTTAGATGGCTTCCGAAAAAGAAAGAGATAATTTTTGTGTTCGTTTTACCGGCAAAAATTATTCGGCATGGGAATTTCAGTTCAAGATGTATGTTAAAGGAAAGGGATTATGGAGTCACTTAGATGATGTTTCTAAGGCACCAACGGAGAAAACTGCTTTAGATGCGTGGGAAACTAAAGATGCTCAAATTATCACTTGGATTCTAAACAATATTGATCCTCAGATGATAAATAATTTGCGTTCTTTTTCAACTGCTCAAGAAATGTGGAATTATCTGAAGCGCATTTACAACCAGGACAATTCGGCAAAACGTTTTCAGTTGGAGTTAGACATCGCCAACTACAAACAAGGTGATTTGTCTATTCAAGAATACTATTCTGGTTTTTTAAATCTTTGGGCAGAACACTCTGCTATTATACATGCTAATGTTCCCAAGACCTCTCTTGCGGCTGTTCAAGAGGTCTACAACACAAGTAGGCGAGATCAATTCCTCATGAAGCTTCGTCTAGAATTTGAGGTTGTCAGAGGTGCTTTGCTAAATAGGAATCCTGTTCCTTCTTTGGATACATGTGTTGGTGAACTTCTCAGGGAGGAACAACGTCTCCTTACTCAAGGAACCATGTCTCATGATACTGTCAGTTCTGAGCCTGTGACAATTGCATATGCTGCTCAAAGTAGAAATAAAGGTCGTGATATGCAACATGTCCAATGTTTTTCTTGCAAACAGTTTGGACATATTGCTCGTAGCTGCAGTAAGAAGTTTTGTAATTATTGCAAACAACAAGATCATATCATTTCTGACTGTCCCACGCGTCCTCCACGACCAGCACATCATTCGGTGAAGGCATTTCATGCCACTACAGGCCATACAATTGGCTCTTCCACCACTGGTGCATCAGATGGCAATGCTCTACAACCTGAAATGATTCAACACATGGTACTTTCTGCCCTTTCAGCCTTGGGTATTAAGGGCAAGTCTTCTCATGTTTCTCGTCCATGGTTTATTGATTCTGGTGCATCCAATCACATGACAGGTTCATCTGAAAACTTGCACAATTTACATTCTTATCATGGTAATCAGAAAATTCAGATTGCTAATGGTAATACCTTGTCTATCACTAAAGTTGGGGACATAAACTCGGATTTTCAGAATGTGCTTGTCTCACCTGGACTTGCTTCTAATTTATTGTCTGTTGGTCAATTGGTGGACAATAATTGTAATGTTAATTTTTCTCGATCTGGTTGTCTTGTGCAGGAGCAGGTGTCGGGGAAAGTGATCGCGAAGGGGCCTAAAGTGGGAAGATTGTTTCCAATACAGTTTATTTCTAATCATTTGTCTCTTGCTTGTCATAATGTTTTGAATCCCTATGAGGATTGGCATAGAAAACTAGGTCATCCAAACTCTTCTGTTTTGTCTCATTTATGTAAAAGTGGCTTGTTGGGAAATAAAAATGTTATTCCTGATGCCTCTGTTTCATGTTCTGTTTGCAAATTGGCTAAAAGTAAGACACTTCCTTTTCCGTCTGGTGCTAATCGTGCTTCCACTTGTTTTGAGATGATTCATAGTGATGTATGGGGAATGTCTCCTGTGGTTTCTCATGCTCACTATAAATATTTTGTCACATTTATTGATGATTATAGTCGTTTTACTTGGATATATTTTCTCCGTTCTAAATCCGAAGTGTTTTCTATGTTTAAGAAATATTTGACATATGTTGAAACTCAATTTCAAGCAAGTGTTAAAATTTTTCGATCTGACTCTGGTGGTGAGTACATGTCTCATGAGTTTCAGGAATACCTTCAACAAAAAGGCATCTTGTCTCAACGGTCTTGTCCCAATACCCCTCAACAAAATGGCACGGCAGAACGTAAGAATCGTCATTTGCTTGATGTAACACGCACCTTACTTCTCCAAGCTTCTGTCCCATCCCGATTTTGGGTGGAGGCTCTTTCCACGGCTGTCTTCTTGATCAATCGTATTCCTTCTACAGTTATTGATCTTGATTCTCCTTTCTTCCGTCTATTTAAAATTCATCCTGATTATAGTGTTTTACATACTTTTGGGTGTGTGTGTTTTGTTCACTTACCTCCTTTTGAAAGGCATAAGCTTGGAGCACAATCCGTTCAATGTGCATTTATGGGATATAGTAACTCTCATAAGGGATTTGTGTGTTATGATGTCTCTAACCATCGTTTTCGCATTTCTAGAAATGTGACATTTTTTGATAATCAGTTTATGTTTCCCTGCGGTTCTCCTGCCATTAATGATATTGTTACTCTTCCTAAGTTTTCTATTATGCCTCAAGCTATAGAACGTTATAAACCAGGTCATGTATATGTCAGAAAACACAGACAACAGGTTCCCACACCACTTCCCGATGCTGAACTGCCACCTGATCCTGTACCGGTTGAACCACGACGTTCTGGTCGAATATCCCGCGCACCAGATAGATATTCACCAGACAGGTATGATTCCTCATATACTTCTCTGACTGCCACACTCTCTAGCATATCTATTCCTACTTGTTACTCATAGGCTGTTAAAGATGTGCGATGGATAAAAGCAATGACTGAAGAGCTCCAAGCTCTTCAAGAGAATTTCACATGGGATATCGTCACTTGTCCTCCAAATGTAAAACCTATAGGTTGCAAATGGGTGTATTCTGTGAAACTGAATTCTGATGGGTCCCTCAACCGTTACAAGGCTCGTTTGGTTGCGTTAGGAAACAAGCAGGAGTATGGAATTGATTATGATGAGACATTTGCACCGGTTGCCAAAATGACAACTGTCCGCACAATCATGTCTATAGCTGCTTCTAATGGGTGGACTCTTCATCAAATGGATGTGAAGAATGTTTTTCTTCATGGTGACCTGACAGAAGATATTTATATGACTCCACCTCAAGGCTTATTCTCTTCATCTAAAGGCGTGTGTAAGCTCAAACGCTCCTTATATGGTTTGAAACAGGCACCTCGAGCATGGTACGAGAAATTCCGCGCCACTATACTTGGATTCTCCTTTACTCAGAGTCAGTATGATTCATCTTTATTTATTCATAGCACATCTGCGGGTATTGTTCTGCTTCTTTTGTATGTTGATGATATGGTTATTACTGGTTCGGATCATGCTTCCATTCAGCGACTTAAGCAACAGCTACAGGCCTCATTTCATATGAAAGATCTGGGTAATCTACATTATTTTCTTGGTCTTGAGGTTCATTATACACCCAAGGGCATCTTTCTCCATCAACACAAGTATGCTACAGATTTGATTTCTATGGCCGGTCTTGAATCGGCTAATCCAGTAGATACTCCTCTTGAGGTTAATGTTAAATATCATCGTGATGATGGGGATTTGTTGCCTGATCCCTTATTGTATCGACAACTTGTGGGTAGCCTCAACTACTTGACTATTACTCGCCCTGACATATCTTTTGTTGTTCAACAAGTAAGTCAATTCATGCATTCTCCTCGCCATCTTCACTTGGCTGCAGTTCGCCGTATAATTCGCTACTTAAAAGGAACCTCTCACCGCGGATTATTCTTTTCCGTTGGAACTTCTCTTCAGTTGAGCGCTTATAGTGATGCTGATTGGGCAGGGTGTCCTGATACTCGTCGATCTGTTACTGGTTGGTGTATGTTTCTTGGTTCTTCATTGATCTCTTGGAAAAGTAAGAAGCAAGCAAGAGTTTCTAAATCTTCTACTGAATCAGAGTATCGTGCCATGTCTGCTGCGTGTTCAGAAATACTTTGGCTTCATGGTCTTTTGGCTGAACTTGGATTTCCCCAAGCAAAGTCAACTTCACTTTATGCTGACAATACAAGTGTCATCCAAATTGTTGCAAATCCTGTTTTTCATGAACGCACCAAACATATCGAAGTTGATTGTCATTCAATACGTGACGCCTACGATGATCGAATAATATCACTTCCTCACGTCAGTACGCAGTTCCAGGTTGCAGATATTCTTACCAAGGCTGTTCCACGCCCAAGACATCAGTTTCTTGTTAGCAAATTGATGCTCCTTGACCAGCCGCATCAATTTGAGGGGGGATGTTAATTAGGAAATAATCTTTGCAGTTATTGTGAATAATTTACATTCATAGAATAGGAAATTAGTCATTATGAATTGTAATTAGTTATTATCAGCTATAATTAGTTATTATGAGTTGTAATTACCGACACTATTATATATAGTATGAAAGGCAATGAGAAAGGCATCAAGCCAAATTTCGTGACAATCACAAGCAACATCTGACTCCAAGTTTGATTCAGAGCTAGTTTGGGCCTTCCTCTTCTTTGGAACAACCTTGCTCCAAGCTTTGGTAAGGCCAACCAGAGTCCTCTTAGTCCCAGCCTTCTTCGTAGGAGTGTTGTGCTCAACAGCCTTCTTCCCTTTCCTAGTCATGAGCCTTTTGGCTATGCTAGGGTTGATAGTGGCAATCAGATCATTGTCTGAAACCTCGTCAACATCATTTTTATCACTTTGCATGTGATCATCCTTAGTTTCAGAGGCTTGACCCTTGTCAGTGTCCTTTTGAGTAGTTGTTTCCAATGTTTCAATATTGTGAATGACATCAGCTTGTTCATCTATATTAGGAGCAGAACCCTCAGTGTTAGAGGGAATAGATATTCTTGGCACATCATGAGGTTCACTCAGAACCCTGGATACCAAATTGGCAATGGTGTTGTGGATTTGCCTAGCTTCTTCCCTATTGAGATCATCATTAGGAATGGAGGTTGTAGAGTGAGAAGTCTGACCTGTGACTAGGTCTTTAGGTCTTCTTGCATGTGAAGACCTTGGTTTCTTCACCAACAGTCCTTCTGGAGTCAGCATGCGCAAAGGAGCTACCACAAGAACCTCGTTAGGGTTGTTAGAATCAGGTCTAGCATCGGCATCTGTATCAGCTATTTAAACTTACCCTGCTGAATCCTCATTATGTATGTCATAACATCAGTCATGACATTCATACATCCATCACTGTTTTGCCACAAAATGCAGCCAATCAAAAGCATCTACAGTATATAAGCAGAAACATGATTAAAAAACAATTTATTGAAAAATAGTTCAATACAATACAAGAGAAATTAAAAAATATTGTTTCTAAGTCAATACTACAAAATAGACTTGTAGACAGAAGAATGCCTCTCAATCATAAAAGCTTTCTCGGTATATATATTATCTATTGGGAAACTCTCAACAAACTGCCCTCATGCGGAACATATTCCATTCACGTGCAGGACTTGGATAACTGAAGCATGACCATGTCGTCTCATAGCAAATGACAACAAATTTTGAAAAGACTCTGATACCATTAGAGTATGGGAAAACCAGAAGAAACATGTCAATGATCAAAAGCCACAAGAGAGCCTTATTTGCTCACACTTAAACCCAACAATCTCACACTTAAATATTGCATTTGCCTTTAGTTATAGAATAAAACCCATTTCAATTTTTCAACTGTACTGTAAAAAAACAATATTAATTACTTTTTCCAATATACTTTTAACTATGTTATGTCTTTTCAATAAGTCTAAAGTTAATATCATTCTAGAATTTTATATCATAAAATAGTTCTCTTCAAATAATACTACCAACAAACTAAGTACTACTAACTGTGATGTGAAAAATCAATAAAGATAATACCTGTTTCTCCCAAACATTTCAATTCCCTTCAAATATAAATCTTTCTCTAAAGGTTTCCAATCTGATATACTATGCATCTCATCAACTTGCCATTCCATTGAGTTGGATAATCGCAACAATTCTATTTTATTTGTGATTTCCGCACGCTCTTTGTTATAATCGTCATTTGCAGTTTCTTTGTTCTCTAGGATTCGCTTCAGTTTTTTATGAGAATTTTGAGAATCACAAGGAAAAGTTGAGTCACATGATGATAAGTCTGGCAGATCTGAGTCCTTAACATCTGAATTGAGATATAAAAGATAATCCATTTCAACATTTTCTGTTTTTTTAATTTCTTTATCCGAAGACTCTCCAGTTGATTTTTTTGATGAAGTATTGACATCCTTTATCTGCAATAAATATGAAATCATTCATCTAAAACAAATTGGAAAGCATGCATCATTAAATAATTAATAAAAATATAATACATTAAATAAAAGTTATCATGTAGATAGAAGTTAAAATCATTTTTTTCTAGCTAGTATGTGACAAATTGGAATATTTTTTCTAGTAGCCAACAGTGATGAATCTTGCCCAACAAACATTAATGTGAATTTTTGTTGTTTATCCATTTGAGGTTTAAGGTGGTGAAACAAAAAAGCTCATCTCCAAATGGTAGAGGAATCAACAGATAGAAGAAAAGTATGAATTTTTGTTGTTATCCTTTTGAAGTTAAGGCAGTGAAACAAAATACTCATCGTGAAATGGTAGAGGAATCGACAAATAGAAAAGACAAGTGACTCAACCATGACTTTCTTTTCATATTTATTCTTTATTTAATATATTAAGAAAAAGATGAAGACTCCAGTACCCTAAACTATTATTAGGTATGTATCCAACATCCAATCACTTAATAACATCATTTTTTTAATTTAATTATTTTTAAACAACAACAATTAAATCTTATTCCACAAAGTGTAGTCGGCTACATATATCAAACTACGTCATAATGTTCTATGAAAAACCATATTTTTATCCAACTTATTAATCTTGAGATCTTTATTAATAGTTTCTCTAAAGTTTTTCTAGGTCTTCCTCTACCTCTAGGGTATTGACTACCCTCCATTTGATCTACTATCTTGACTACAAAAGCTACATATTTTCTCTCTACATGCCCAAACACCTAAGTTGAGTTTCCACCATCTTTTTTATTATAGGTGTTATCCTAACACTTTCTTTAATAATGTCACTTCTAATTTCATGTCGTCTAGTATTACCACATGCAAGAAAATGAATTTAAATTTTCATTAATATTCTTTAGAATACCGGTATCAAACTAAACTCTAGATGCCAAAGAAAATTTGTTTATTTGAGGGATTTGTGGCAACTTTTGGATCCTTAAAAGGTCTTCCACTGCTAGCTAGTCTCACAAACAATTAAAATTTTCTAAAGTAGTCCATAAGGCCTAAGTCGACTGTTGATGTTGAAATTGTTACAGGATATTCTCTGTAGTTATTGATGGTAATCCGAACTTCCAAAACAAAAATTAATAACTAAAAATGTATCAACAATGGAAAATAGAATATATTTAATTTATTGATGAGCAGAGAAAATTGTAGAAAGAAATAAACTAAATCTACTCTAGAGTCAAGCTCCTGGGAGAAGGAGAAAACCTTATATATGTCCTAATCATAATATCATGATGGTTCATTGCAATATTTCCTGCATGATCACTACAATCCACTTACCTCACTATATATACTTACCACACTCATTATTACTCCCTCCATTCCTTTTTAATTGTTTTTTTTTTACTTTTTGTACACACCAGGAAAGCTAATATTTTTTACTACTTTTTATGTAATGATTGTTCTTTTTACCTATAATACCCTTAATTATTTATTAAGTCATTTAATTTTTTCTCTTTCTTCAAGAAATAATTAGGGGTAATTTTGACAAAACAATAACTAATGTTGCTTTGAACTTTAAAAAAGACAATTAAAAAGAAACAAAAGTTTTACTCAAAAACGACGTTTAAAAAGGAACGGAGGGAGTACATAATAACCCTTTTTTTCCTAATGGGCCCTTACTCGGGTCTCTATCAGTTACTCGAAATCTTCACTTATTTGGAAGTTTTCAGGCGGTATTTATCACTTTATCTACATTTCAGACTGGAAAAAAAAAAATCAAAAGTAATAATCCATTTAGGTTCATCCTCTGAACTTCATCTTCGAAATGTTGAGCAAGGTGGAGAATCATTAGCAATATTGTTTGAAAATTGTAATCAATTAGATAATGAAATGGGTAAATAATTAATTAACGGTGCAATGCACATAGATGTAGCACATATAGATCATAGAATGTGAAGCATTTGAAGGAACTTACGATTGTCAAAGGTTGATAAAATTACATGAAACACCAAGCAAATGAGAAGAAAAATACCTTAAGGTAACAATTATCACTGCAGGGGTTACTCTGACCTTCTGGTTCATTCCAAACTGATTGCTTTTCATTCTATGAAATAATTGTTGTCAATTTACTAATAGAAACATAAGTTAAGAAACAAATGTAGAAGATTTTTTCCTTACAGGATATATTAAGGGTTGCAAACATCCATGTAAAGGACAATCATAGATCTGTAGGGAATTTGAAAAGCATAAACACACAAGATATTTGATATTAAACATAAAGATGATGACAAGAATGCTAAAAATATAGTTCTTTAGTATTTACCATGCAAAGACGACAGAAAAGGTGATCAAAAGTACTTAAACTGGCATTCAAACTTTTGTCCAAACATATTCCAGTAATAGATTCACTTTCTCGAGAATTTTTAGCATGCAAGTCCTTTTCCTTGAGATATTTATACCTCTCCTGCATAAAAATGATTGTAAAAAATAGTGTTTTTAATATTCACCTTTTAAAAAATAGTTTAAAGGTGGGTCATTGAAGTCAATTAAATATAAAGTATTAATACAATTTAGTATTGTTATTGTTGATATTTGTAAATATATATATATATATATATAGTGTTAAGAATATTTGTATATAGAATAGTCCTACATCGACTATATCATGTAATTAGTTGTAATCTATTTATATATAATAATGTCTCCATAGTGCTTTTCAAAACACACAGTTTATTCATGTCTCTTAGTCTCTTGTATTTCAACAGTTATTATCAATAAAACTTAATATTATTGCAAATTGATATCAAGACCAATGAAACTTCGCTTGCAGAGGCGATTTCTTTTGGGGTAATGGGTCCGAATACAGTTTCTTGGGTTAGTTGGTCTATAGTGTGCAAGCCTAAGAGTAGGAAAGGTCTTGTGGTGAGGGATCTTCGCCTGGATAATATGACTGTTGGGAAAGTGACACTGGAGGGTCATTATTTGGGGGCTGGCTTTATGGCAAAAGGCGGTCACAGCTAGATACGGTCCAACTTTTCTTTGACACACTACGCTGGCAATTGGAGCGATTCCAGTCTACCTCTTCCGGGTGGAAAGTTATTTCTCTTCTCAGAGCAGACCTGGATTCAACCTCGGACTAGTTTTTAATATGCTATAAAACAATAACAGTAAAGGAATAGAAGTATGATGAATATGAGTAGGGTGTATTATTATTGAATCATAACAGTTATAATGGATGGAGAGAATTCTCCTTGGAGGAAATGGAAACAGAAGAAATGTGACCCTAAAGAGAGAGCACCCTTACTGATGTGATAACAACCTCACACTCAACCCCTTTTCCCTACTCATGAATTGCTTACCTCACTCTCACTGCCCTCCTCTTTATGTAATTATGACCCTGATTCTCAATCATGATCCTCCAATCCCCCTAGTGCCACTTGGATATTCTGTTATTCATGCTTCTTGCACACCTTCCTCCCCTTCTTTCACTGCCAGCTGTCCCTCCTTGCTCATGTGCACCCTTTCCCATTTTTTCCATTTTATCCCTTCTCTTTAAACATGTTTAAACGTTTTCCCATTTTACCTCCTTAGGCTGAACTTGCAACTCACATTCCTCATTTAAGCACCGTGGTAGTGTGATAGGAATGGATCGGATCCCACAAATGATGATGGGAATGTGTTAGTTAATAGAGATATTATTGGACCTAAACAATGGAGGGTATATGTGAGAAAGAATAGGAAACTCCACAAATAAATAGGAGTTAGTTTAGGTATTATTCTCCATATAAATAGGAGTTAGTTTAGGGATTATTCTACATATAAAGAGGAGTGTATGGGGCAGTAGTGAGGCATTGATTGATTTTCTGATTTTGATATTAGGATTTGGGCAGTGAGAGAATTGTTTCTCTGACTGAGGAGCAGTAGCTCTAGAATTTATTTTACTTTCACATTCATTAATAAAATACTTTTCTTTATCATATTATATCATACCTTTGTTCTATCAATTGGTCTGACCTACCATTGTTCATGCCCAAAGCTCCTAAGATGGCTGACCGTGTTTCTGCAGTGGAAGAAAGGTTGGAAGGTGTTGAGGCTAGCATTGCTGCGTTACGAGAGTTCATTGGTGCTGAGATTCAACGTGCAATGACTCATCGTGAAGTGCCGCAGCCAAGCAGTGCGGCAGTTTCCTCACCGCTGGATGAGTTTCGTTTATCTGCGAAGAAGGTGGAGTTGCCGGCATTTACCGGTGACGATCCGGTTGCATGGATCACTCGGGCAGAGACATACTTTGAGGTACAACGAATTTCGCAGGATGTTCGTATTCAGTTGACCAAATTGAGTATGGAAGGCCCTACTATCCATTGGTTTAACCTATGGCATGATTCAACTGAGGAAGTGTCATGGGAGAACCTTCGTGAGGCGATGATGGTTCGATTTGGAGGTGGGCGTTTGGAGAATCCGTTTGAGGAATTAAAGGAACTAAAACAATCGGAATCAGTAGAGGAATATATTGCTGAATTCGAACTGTATTCTTCACAGTGTGGTCGTTTGCCAGAACAACAGTTTCTAGGTTATTTCATTGGTGGTTTACGTCATGATATTCGTTGTCGTGTGCGTACCTTCAAGCCTCGCAATCGTTACCTAGCAATGCAATTGGCTCGTGATGTTGAAAGTGAATTTGCAGTGGCTTCTGGACAAGGTTCTGGAGCACGTTACAAACCAGGTCATGGTTCTTGGACAAAATCTCAAAAGCCTAATTGGGCTTTTCGCGAAGGGGAAGGGAACGGATCTGCAACTCAGACCCAGCCTAATAATTCTTTGGGCCAAACGCGGACTGGTTCGGATTCTGGATCTCAAACCGTCTCAACACGTCCTACCAATTCTACAGCATCTTCTCGCCCAAATTTAGGTGACAATTCACGCCGTCAATCTCGTGGTGTTCGCCATCTACCAAGTGCAGAGGTTAATGAGCGTCGTGCGAAAGGACTTTGTTTTCGTTGCAACGAACGATGGGATCCTCTCCATCAATGTGCAACAAGACAGTTACGATTGATTATCTTGGGGGATGACGAAATTGTTAACGATGCAGGAGAGATTGTGGTGTTGGAGGCTGCGACGGAAGAAGAGCTCACACAAGAGGAATTAGAATGTAAAACCATGGGGCTGGTTGGTGTATCCACTAATCCAAATCAGGTCCGGAGGATGAAATTGGAGGGATGTTTACAAGGTGCATTAATTCTGGTACTTATTGACAGTGGAGCCACACATAATTTCATATCACCTAAGGTGGTTGAAGCCCTGGGATTGTCTATGGTGTCTTCTAATCCTTTGGGTGTTAAATTAGGAGATGGTCATCGTGTCCTAACTAGGGGTAGATGCAATGGAATTCAGATGAAAGTGGGATCAGTGCAGATTTGCTTTGATGCTTATGTGTTGGAGTTAGAAGGTGTGGATTTGATTTTAGGAGTTGTGTGGCTAGAAACGTTGGGGAAGGTGACCATGGATTGGAAAGAAATGTTTATGGAGTTCAACCATAAAGGCAGTATGGTGAAACTACATGGTCAGGCTGTAGATGATAAGATGGCTACTTTCCAAAGCATTATCACTCCTTCTCGAATGATGGCAGGCTGTAAATGGCCTACCTTGATGAAGGTGTTAGGGTCACCGGTGTCGTGTGTCTCTGATCAACAGACTAAGGAGTTGGAAAGATTGCTGGAGCATTTTGTTATTGTGTTTAAAGAAATCCAAGGTCTTCCTCCGTCAAGAAACACTAGTCATTCAAGTGAACTTTTACAGGGTGCGGGTCCGGTAAGTGTGCGACCATACAGATATCCTCATTTACACAAGGATAAAATTGAAAAACAGATTCAGAGCCTATTGCAACAAGGGGTGGTTAGAAACAGCACCAGCGCTTTCTCTAGTCCCGTCATTGTGGTCAAGAAGAAGGATCAATCTTGGCGTATGTGTGTAGATTACCGTGCACTCAACAAGGTAACAATTCAGGACAAGTATCCTATTCCGGTTGTAGATGAATTGTTAGATGAGTTACATGGCTGTAGTTATTTCTCTAAGCTTGATCTTAAATCCGGTTATCATCAAATTCGTATGAAGGAAGAGAATATTCATAAAGCTGCTTTTCGGACTCATGAGGGTCACTATGAGTTTTTGGTAATGCCGTTTGGCCTCACCAATGCTCCTGCAACTTTTCAATCGGTAATGAATGCAATTTTCAAGCCCTTTCTACAGAAGTTTGTCCTGGTTTTTTTTGATGCTATCCTAGTATACAGTAGTAGTTGGGCTGAACATTTACAGCACTTGGAGGTGGTTCTTAATATTCTGCAGCAGCATCAGTTTGTGGCAAATCGGAAGAAATGCACTTTCGGTCAGCACCAAGTGGAATATTTGGGCCATGTCATTTCCAAAGCAGGGGTTGCTGTTGATCCTGCCAAGGTCAGCAGTGTGTTACAATGGGAAGGGATGGATGTTGGAGATGCTACCTGGGAAGAGGAACTGTTGCTGAAGAGTCAATTCCCTGATCTGCGCCTTGAGGACAAGGCTAATGTTGTAGGTAGGGGTGATGATAGGAATGGATCGGATCCCACAAATGATGATGGGAATGTGTTAGTTAATAGAGATATTATTGGACCTAAACAATGGAGGGTATATGTGAGAAAGAATAGGAAACTCCACAAATAAATAGGAGTTAGTTTAGGTATTATTCTCCATATAAATAGGAGTTAGTTTAGGGATTATTCTACATATAAAGAGGAGTGTATGGGGCAGTAGTGAGGCATTGATTGATTTTCTGATTTTGATATTAGGATTTGGGCAGTGAGAGAATTGTTTCTCTGACTGAGGAGCAGTAGCTCTAGAATTTATTTTACTTTCACATTCATTAATAAAATACTTTTCTTTATCATATTATATCATACCTCTGTTCTATCATAGTGGCTGCGCAGTGAACCCTGCTCCCACAAGTCCATTTATAGGTGACCCGACCTATCTTCTCAGTAATAGCAAATGGCCCATAAAACCTTGGACCCAATTTCTCATTAAGCATGTTAGCATGGGAATTGAACTAGTAAGGTTGAGCTTTCACATAGTAGACCATATCCCCAACATCAAAAATCACCTCTCTTCTTTTCTTGTAAGCTCATTGTTTCATCAGATTAAGAGTTGATTCTTCAGCTCACCCAACACATCTTCTCTTTCCAGCAATAATTGATCCACTCCCTGACTCTAGCCCCCATTCTAGGGTAACTGATGATAGTTGGTGGTTCCCTCCCGTACATGGCCTTAAATAGGCTCATGCTAATAGAAGAATTAAATAAAGAATTAAACCAGAACTATGCCCAGCCTAACCATTTCACCCATTGCTTGGGTTACCCATTCACAAAACACCGTAAATATGATTCCAAGGTGCGATTAGATACCTCTGACCACCCATCCGTCTGAGGGTGAAAA